CCTCACCCTATCATCTCTGACTAGCAAACATTAGTAAAGTGTTTCCTTGAATTATGTGAGTTGTTATAGCCAATTGCTCCCAAGGAGGGGTTGTGGAAGCCCCTACTGTGTAGCCAATCCAGACACAAATGTGGGTAACCTGGAAACCTATTAATTGTGATTGGCATCTGAAGTGGGGGTGCAGTTCTGAGGGACTGAGCCTTTAACCTGTGGGGTCTGTGCTAACTCTGGGTAGTATTTTTTTGAGACAGGGTCTCACTCTGTCACCCAGGGTAGAGTGCAGTGGCGCCATCACAGCTCACTGCAACCTCTACCTCCTGGGCTCAAGTGATTGTCCTACCTCTGCATTCTGAGTAGCTGGGAAAACAGGCACATGCCAACACGCCTGGCTAATTTTTAAAATTTTTTGTAGAGATGGGGTTTCAACATGTTTCCCAGGCTGGTCTTGAACTCTTTTGGCTTTGGCCTCCCAAAATGTTGGGATTATAGGTGTAAGCCCCGGTGCCTGGCCCCAGCTCTGCGTAGTTATTGTCAGAACTGAATTAAATCGTCGGCCACTGAATTGGTGCCAGCAGAGAATCCCCTTGGTATAGAAAGCTCACAATTTGGTATCAGAGGTGTTGAGTAAGAAACAGTTTTCCTTTAACCACAAATTTCTGAAGTTCCCACAACTGACTGCCTAAACACACACACACACACACACGCACACACACACACACACACAGACATATACACACACTCTCACTTTTTTCAATTTAAGTTAAATGACTAGTATACTGAGATCTTGAACACTGCCATGCACCTAGGATGAGTTCACTTTCTGAACACCAAGTACTCGGAACTGAAAAGGTACATCCTTGATCAGGAAAGAATCCTAGAATCTGGATCAGGCCACAGATGATGGCATGGCAGGAGGGGAAGTGGCACAGAAGAACAGTTTTGTGGATGTTCAGCAGGAAGAGTCACATCCAACTAGGGGCAATGGGGAAAGACTCCATGGAGAGAAGGGAGGAAAAAATGAAACTTAAGCCTCATATCAGTCACATCATCCCAACAACCCTCCGCAGCAGGCAGAGTACCCATTTTACAGATGAAGAAAGGGAGGTGAAGAGGGATGAGGTGACTTGCCCACGGTCCCACAGTGAGTGGGGGAGTCATAAATTGCTTTGTCTCATTCTGAAGCCCATGTTCTCTCCTCTATATCCACAATCTTCAAATAATGTTCTGTGGAGCCCTGACGGGGGGGAAGGAAAGTCAGGACAAGGCTGCGCCCATGGGGCTTGGACCCCCACCCTAATTTCGACCCCAGCAGCTCTGCTTCCCATACATACTTATAGAATGGAGTTCTATAGAAGATTTCATTTGAAAAAAACTTCTGCAGTTAAACACAGGGCGATGGCCTGTGCCCAAAATCAAGCCAACACACACCTAGCTTCCAGGCCTTGAGCAAAACACTGACCTCCTAAGCCTTTGCTTCCTCAATTACCAAATGGGTGTAATATTAACACCTATGTGGCAGGGCTGTTGAAAGGATTACATGCTAAAACAGATGAAGGCTGTGTGGTCGCTCATACCTGTAATCCTAGCACTTTGGGAGGCTGAGGTTGGCGGATCACCTGAGGTCAGGAGTTTGAGACCAGCCTTGCCAACATGGGGAAACCCCGTCTTTACTAAAAATACAAAAATTAGCCAGGTGTGGTGGCAGGCACCTGCAGACCCAGCTACTTGGGAGGCGGAGGCAGGAGAATTGCTTGAACTGGGGAGGGGGAGGTTGCAGCGAGCTGAGATCACACCACTGTGCTCCAGCCTGGGTGACTGTCTCAAAAAACAACATCAACAACAACAAAAAGACATGGAAAGCACTTGGCACAGCATCTGGCACTCAGCGCACTGGCATTCTTATTAACTTGTAGAAAATAGCAAGGCCTGTCCCACAAGGAAAGAGCCAAAAAAAAAAAAAAAAAAAAAAAAAAAAAAAAAAAAAAAAAAAAAAAAAAAAAAAAAAAAAAAAAAAAAAAAAGAATATTGCTATGGACTGAATGTTTATGTCCCCTGCAAATTCCGATGTTGAAATCCTACCTGCAACGTGATGGTATTAGGAGGTGGGGCCTTTGGAGATAATTAGATCATGAGGGTGGAGCCCTCATGAAGGGGATTAGTGCCTATATAAAAGAGACCCCAGAGAATTGTCTTGTTCTCTTTCCACTGCGTGAGGACACAGTAAGACGCTGGCCGCCTGTGAGCTGGAAGAGAGTCACCCCCAGAATCTGATTGTGCTGGCGTCCTGGCCTCAGACTTCCGCCCTCCAGAACTGGGAGAAATCCATTGATAAGCCACCCAGTCTATCATACTGTTATAGCAGCCTGAACCGACTTAGACAATCACGAAGCTATCAAAGGACTTTTTAGGGACATTAAAAAGCACTCCCCACAAACACCTGTGATGGTTCTGACCTCTGCTTTGGGCTCTCTCCTGGTCTTGATAAACGTAAGTTTGCATTTGTATCAGGACACACACCTAGAGCTAAGGGAGGCTTGGTATCTCAGTTTGCAAGTTGTGGTCATGTCCCCATTGCTGCTTGTCAGCTGGTTCAGCAAGAAGCTTAACGGAGACTGGGCTTTGAGTGTTGAGGTCAGTAACCCCAAACCCCCAAACTAATTTACTGCATTGCTCAGAGCCCCAAAGAATAGGCTGTCCCCTAAGCTGACTCTTGGCTTTTATACCAAAAGCCCCAGGGTCGGGGGAGGCAGGTATATCAGCTCCACCAAGCCCCAGAGCCTTCTCCCTTGGCTATCTCGGACCTTTCCCCTAGGTCTCTTTCAGGATCCTTCCATCAAAGACTCCAGTGAATTAAGTTCCCAGTGAAAGTTGTTTTTTTTTTTTTTTTTTTTTTTTTTTNTTTTTTTTTTTGTCTTGAGACAGGGTCTTGCTGTGTTGCCCAGGATGGAGTACACTGGCACAAGCATAGCCCACAGCAACCTCAAGCTGCTGGGCTTAAGCAATTCTCCCCCTCTGCCTTTCCAGTAGCTGAGACTGACAGGTATGCCACCACACCTGGCAAAAATTTTTTTTTGTAGAGATGGAGGTCTCACTACATTACCCAGGCTGGTCTCAAACTCTTGGCCTCAAGTGATCCTCCTGCCTTGGCCTCCCAAAGTGCTGGGATTATAAGCATAAGCCACTGCACCCAGCCCCGGTGAAGGTTTTGATGGCTTACAGTAAAACGCAAACCCCTGTTTCATGCCTATAATAGCTGCCCATCCTTGTGAATGAGTGAATGAAAATCACATTCAGGATGATAGAGCCTCTGCATTCTCACAAGACACAGAAGCACTGGCCATGGAGCTTCTATGCCTGGTCACTGAACCACTGGCTGGGTGGGACTTTCTTGCCATGGCTCTGCTTTGGATTCTCCACCTGTCAGCTCAGCCGGTGGCACCGCCACCAAGCTCTGACAGTTTCTCTTTGGGGAGGTTTAACCTTTTCTCTCTTCCAGGCAGTGGAGAAGGTCATTTGCTACAGAGCACTGAGCAAGAAGGTTGACTTGTGCCGGGGACATGTCTTGCTCCTTTCCTGCTCACTCTGCCAGAACGAACGTGTCAGAGCTAGACGCACCCACAGAAGTCATCTCCCCATGGCGGGGACATGGAAACAAAAGCCCTGAGACATCAAGCAAGTAGCCTGAGGACATAGCGCTGGCTGCAGGGAGGGGCAGAACACTTGGCCTCTGACTAAAGCGCGTCGTACAGCACTTTCTAGGACGTTTTCTTTGCCTTGTGCTGGTTTGAAAGTCTTGGACTCACTCCCAGAGGTGCTCCTTAAGCCTGAATTCTATACATTATAAACACAAAATATGCCTACAGGATATACACAGATACGGATTATATATACGTAGATATGTATATATCATTTACATACATACACACGTGTTTGCAACTGATAATTAGTATATAGAGAGACTGTTAAAGAGCTTGGATAAGCCCAACTCCCTTTATTTTATTATAGAATAATGATAACTGAAGAGGTAGAGGAAAGTCAGAGATTCGGAGTGTGAGAAAGGGGAAAAGTGTGTAATTTGCAAAAGCATATTCAATATTATAATTGCTTTGACTTTTTTAAGGCACAATAAAATGTACTTTGAAATCTTAATGGTGAGGAGGGCATTCAGAATTTACGTTCATCCAAAGGGAATACGGCTTAAATAAAAAAGATTGGGAGATACTGGACTCAGCATATTATAGCTTTGGAAATTGTCTGATCCAATTTCGTGCTAAAGATAAGGAAACTTCCACCCAGAGAGGTTAAGTGACTTCTAGTCTAAGGCCAAATGGCTTTTTATTCATCCCGGAGGGGAGCAGCCACGTGGACTTTATCTGTTCTGTCCATGGCAGCTGCATGGTTTGTTGATGACCAGCGGAAGGAATTTATTACATCAAGGATGTTAAGACACAGACAGAAAGCACTTCCCCAGCACACCTCCATTTTTTTTAACAAGGGGGATTTTTGGGAAAGGCGAATTGGAACGTAAGGGTTTTACTGATGGCACCATGTCCTTGGAGCAGCACCCCAATGGCCCACACACTTGGCTGCGCTTAGCTCCAGCCCGTCTTTGTATAACTCTGGGGAGACTCTCTCCTGGCCCTCTTTCAGGGGGAGAAAAGGTCTGGCTGCAGGAGTGACTCCTTAAGCAGCTCTCCTCTCCCCCTGGTCACCTGCAGAGGCCATCGCCAAGTTGGGCAGATGGTTTCAGTCTAGTCCCATTGACTAAGACAAGTTGTAGGTTTTCTCTCATTTGTTCGGACAGGACCGCGCACTTCAGCAGAAGGACTACAGCTCCTGAAAGAGTTAGCTTGCCAGCAGAGGCAGCCACCCAGGAAGACTTTACCCACAGCCTCAGGCTAAGACAAGACACGGCAGACCCTGTCGGGGAGCCTGGGGGAAGGCAACTGTCCCCAGAGTGGCAGCTGTCGATGTGCCCGCCGGTGCAGGAGTCCACTTACCGCAGTGAGACTGGAAAACCTGTGGCTTGACGACCTGGTTACAAGCACTGCACACCACGAGATAGAAGTCGTCATGTGCTGGGTAATGGCCAAATAAGTGCATATCTGTGGGGGAAATGAAAACAGTGTTTTTTGAAACAGCAATTAAGTCTCAGAAGGTGTACGGTTTCCTCTCGGAATTTCTTCAAGGACAGTTTTTCAAGCACAACACTCGGCAAGGCAATAATCTTTACTAAAGGGAACTCGGTTTGTCAGAAGGCATCTCCCCACCTCTCAGAGAAGCAATTGGCTCAGAGAATCCCTCCTCATTTCTCCCCTGGAAATGGACTGCGGCTGCTGCTGATCAGTACGCGCTGTCGAGGGGCTCTGAGTCACGTGCTTTGGGATTCACCCTGTCCTGAGAGAACCCACATGTGAGCTGGGATTCACTGAGGCTCTATTTATCTCAGCAGTGGGCGGAACTCCCCCAAACCCATTCCTGCATAAGCAGGGGTCCCTCAGGGAAGTGAGAGTGTATCTGGTTGGGGACAGAAGGAGGACTCATTTGGCCTTGGCAGTGGCTGGGTTTCCCCATCACCCGAGGAACATGCCAAGGCTGAAGGAGTCCACTGAACAAGTGGCTAAACAAGTGGCTCATCTGCTGCCATCGTGACCCATTATTCATTTGGTAAGTATTTGCTGAGCATCTGCATGTGCCAGGCACTGTGCTAGGTGCTGGGGAAAACTGGGGAACAAGAATGGGTTCTCTGCTCTCCTTCTTAAGGTTGCAGAAGAGAGAAACATTAGGCAGACCACCAAGGTGTCATCGTTGCCTGCAGCTGTGTTAGGGGCTATGGCAGAGATGCACGGGGTCCCCTGGGAGTGTGCGGCAGGCGGCCCTAGAATGAGACAGTAGAGAATGCTTCCCTGAGGAGGGGGCAGGCCATCTGAGACTCTGGGATGAGTAGAGTTTAGAGAAGCAAAGGGCAGGGGAAGGCAGAAAGTTCGAAGCTGAAGCCAAGGAAGGAGGTTCTGTGCATAGAGGGAGGCTTGGGGCCTCTTGGCTGGAACAGAACAGGGGAAATGGAAGGGTGAAGTTGGCCAGGCCCAGAAGCCATGAAACCTTCCATGCCCAGGTGAGGATTCTGACTCTGACTTTAAGAATACTGGGAAGTAATAGGGCTTTTTAAGCAAAGAAGTGGCGTGATCAGGTGCGTCCTGTTAAAAGATCAGTTATGTGGCAGTATCTCCGAGATGATGAACACATAGGTGCACAGATGTTCACAGCAGCACTGCTCAGAACAGCCAAAAAGTGGAAACAACCTAAACAGCCACCAACTGATGAGTGGATAAACAAAAGACCACAGAACACTGTCCATCCACTGAAAGGAGTAAGTACTGATCCCAGCTACAATGTGGATGAACCTAGAAAATATTAGGCTAAATGAAAAGATGCAGACACAAATGTTGCATATGGAATGACCCGATTTAGATAAAATGTCCAGAGTTTCTTTTTGGGTCAATGAAAATGTTCTAAGATTATGGATAGTGAAGATGGTCACACCACTCTGAGAATAAAACCCACTGAACTGTATATTTTAAATGGTAAACTGTAGGGTATGTGAATTTTATCTCAGCTGGGTGGAGTAATCCCAGCTTGGGATTATTGTAGTAATCCCAATTTGGGAGGCAGGAGGATCACTTGAGCCCAGGAGTTCAAGACCAGCCTGGGAAACAAAGTGAGACCCCATCTCTACGAAAAATGTACAAAAAGCAGCCGGGTGAGGTGGCTTGTGCCAGTGGTCCCAGGTACTCGGAGGGCAGGAGAGTTACTTGAGCCCAGGAGATCAAGGCTGCAGCGAGCTACAATCATACCACTGCACTACAGCTTGGGCAACAGAGTGAGACCCTGTCCAAAAATAAAAATAAAAATAAAATTATCTGTCTGACAAGAAAAAGGCCAGTTACGAGAAACCCACAGTCACAGCTGTGCACCACTGGGTGGAGACGGGTTCTGGCGGACACCTCTGCCCTGCCTCCTCTTAGCTGACTGGCTTTGAGAGCGCAGCCATAAACACCGGCAGGGGTTATGGGGGAATTCAATCTCCTCTGGTTGAGAACCCCCACCAAACTTTGATTTGCTACATTCAACCTGTGACTTTAATGAAACCCCCCCAACATGATCGTTCCCCTAAGTGCGATCCTAGGCCAGAGGAGGGCAAGGTTCAAACCCAACAAATGCCTGGGAGGCCTCCAGGCTCTGTGCTCCCGGAGCAGCCCTGCTGCTTCAAGGGAAATGGAACCTGCAGTTTTATCACAGGCAAGGGGTGAGGCCCCTGCTCCCCCGGGGGGAAGCCTGTGACTGAAAGAGTGGACCTGGCCTGCCTGGGGGCAGGCAACTCAGTGGCCTCCCCAGGTTTTCAGGTGCCCTCAATTGGCCTCAGCAGTACCTAGGTTTCCCCATCACCCGAGGGACATGCCAAGGCTGAAGGAGTCTGCTGAACACGCGGTTAGGCAAGTGGCTCGTTTGCTGCTGTCATGACCCATTATTCCCTGGGTAAGTATTTACTGAGCCCCCTGAATAGGTGGGACCACAGGCACAAGCCACCTCACTCGGCTGCTTTTTGTACATTTTTCGTAGATGGGGTCTCACTTTGTTTCCAAGGCTGGTCTTGAACTCCTGGGCTCAAGTGATCCTCCTGGCTCCCAAGTGCTGGGATGACACAACCCAGCTGAGATATAATTCACATACCCTACAGTTCACCATTCAAAGTATACAGGTGCGTGCCTCACAGAGGGTGGCCAGGACACAGGCCCAACTGTATTTTAAAGGGTGTGGCCTATCATTCCCCTCATCTCTCGCCACTGCCACTTCCAAGACTGGCACACACTGTGTGCTGGGAGATGCTGGAGGGGAGCGTTATTAGTCAGGGCCTGGTAGGCGGGGGGTCTGTGGGAAGAGAGGCTGAGACGAGCCCAATACTGGGTCCAAGCAACACCCTGTGGGCAGGCAGGACCCTCATACAGAGCCTCAGAGCCATGGAGACCACTCTTCTTGGGCCTTAACTGTTGACACAACTCTTGTTTTGTTTTTAATTTATAGGTTGTTTATTTTTGTAACACATGTTCATTTTCTTAAATAAAACAAAAGGGATCCAAGTTCTCTGAAAACACATTTGGAAAAATATAGAAAATACAGAAGAAATTAAAGAAAAATACCATTACCAGCAAACTTGACTAACACTCTGTCTCATTTCGACTTAAAGTCACATTTTATATCCAGGAACAGGTAAAACCGGGAGCTGGTGAGGGCTACAACTTACTTATTTATTCAATAAGCATTTATTTGGCTGCCTGACATCCTTTCTGCAACAAGTCAAGCTATGAAGGAATAAAAGGTGATCATTAAAAATAATTAAAAACAAACAAACCAACCCAACCAAGCATTAACAAAAATTTCTTGAACGTCTACTCTTGTGCCAGAAACTGCCAAGTGCTGGGAGGTTGAGACTCAACACTGGAGCGTGTGGGGAATTTGTTCCTGCACCTTTCTCTTACATGCTGGGTGACCTGTGGGGGCCTGTCAGGCTGCCAGATGCCCCATTCTTCCGTATTCCTCCAGAGACCTGCAGAGCCCATCCCGTCTCCCCTACCCCCACCCCTACACATGTCTGTTACATCAGTGAGTGGAAGGTAAAGGTTCAGCTCCTTAGGCAGTGTGGCCACCTGGGAATGTGTTCCCCTCCAGGCCTCTCACTCACTGAGGCTTTTCCTAGTTTCCCTCCAGGGCAGCGTCAGCCTCAACCTCACATGTGTCTGCTCTGAGCATGTCTCCCGTGGAAAGTGAGAGGACTGCGAGTCTGCTTGATTACTCCTCAGTGAGTCAACCTTAGGATCTCCTCTACAGGCTGCCCAGGTCCTGAAGGCCGTGCTGATGGGGAGAAATACAGGCAGCTGGCTCCCAGGAGGCCCACCACTTCACATGGCTAGGCGTTCACAGGCAGTGTGCTGTTTCATTAGAGCAATGTGGGCTGGGGGACAAAGCAGCGAGGGAGAGCAGGGGGCGAGGAGAACTAAGGCCAGGCATAATGATAGGGGCTCTGCTAACTAATTCTCTTTTGCTCTCTCTCTCTCTTAATTTGCCCCCAAGCAAAACATTCAGTGGGCTGGTGCCAGCTTGTGAGAGCCAATCACGCATGTCCCTTCTCAATTTCATGTTCAGTGTCGTCATGGCGGTAGCTTGAAATCAGCCATGGTGGAAGTATTTACACCAAGGAAATGGGCAAAGACTACAAATTAGGCTTTTTGTTAAATATTTACTGGTGCACCACTGGAAAAACATGGGTAAAAAAGTGAATAGTGAAACCACCTGTAATGCTACCACCTGGTGATATGCACTGTTGACATGTTAATATATCTCTCTCCAGATTTGTGATGTGACAACGTTATCTTAGTTCATCTTCATAATGAACCTTTGAAGTTGTCAACATCGCCACTTTCCATGCAAAGGAATGACAGTAAAGTCATTTGCTTGCAATCCCATAGCAATGATTTGTAAAAAATAGGATGAGATTCCCGGATACTCTGACTCTAAAGCCACTTCTCCTTTCTCAGCAAAATGCTGCTTACATAGAACAACATCCCATTTCACAGATGAGAAAACCAGTTTAGAAGGGTTTCCTGGGTGACTAACAGGCTGTCCTGAGGCTCTGAAGGGGCTATTGGCCTGGGCACTGGCCTGGGGTCAGAAGGAAAGGTTGGGAGCATGGGGCTCATTGCTTAGCCTTTCCTAGGCTGAGTGTCCTCATCTCTGAAAGGAGCTAACAGTCTCTGTCTCATCTCATGGGGTTGCTGTGATGGCTCCTAAACACTGCTTGGCCTTGTACCTTTTTCCAGGAGGGACTCAGGAAAGAGTGTGGAGAAAGCTTTCATTATTACCTCTTTTACTTTAAAAAAATCACTAGTTCCCTTGGAGCACAGCAGACCTAGGAAGGTTGATCCTTCTGACTGCAGAAATTCATGTGTGTGTATGTGCACATGTGTACACATGTGGACAGAGGAAGGCTGAGAGCTCCTGGGAGACTTCTCTAGTCTGTGGCTGAGTGCCCAATGAAGATGGGACTCTC